GTCACTCATCCGAGTGACTTCTTCAGTCTCAGCTGACTGCAGGTTTCCCCAAATCTTATAAACAGTTGTTGCGTTCTTAGTCTAGGCGAGTATTGAATGCAACAAGAAGTTGGCCCACTCCCACTCCACCAAAGCAAGGACACAAACAACAATATCTTTTTAAAGTGCTAAGCAGCCATTTATTTTCTTCAGCAGTGAGCAGTTCCAAAAATAACAAACAAAACTCCCTAATGGTCCCTATGCTTTCCTATACAAATGAAAAACAAACAAAAGACAATTCACTTACCTAACTTTCTAAATGAAAAACGAGAAAACTCAATCAACAAAAATGGCTTCTCACGCCTAGGCTGCTGCAGTAAAGAATATATACAAGGTGAACAAAATACACGATTGCTACTTGACAAAACTATTTACAGCTATTTACAAAATGGAGGTACTAACGCCACACACACACACAAGGTTATACTTGCAAATTAATTTGGCAAAGACACTCTACACAGCAACGAATCACAAAGACAGGTTCTTTGTTGGATATTGGAGGTTAGGAGAGAGGGGGCCAGGTGGCTGTCATCCGGTAGTTAAGTACTGGAGGTGATTAGCCAATTATCCAATCCAAGGACAGGAAGAAACTCCACCCAACTACTCAGCAGGCACACCCAGGTGTCCACCTCCTAAGAGAGAGGGGAAAAAATCCACAGCCATCCTCTGGTGGGAGGAGTCACACATAAAACAAACACTGCCAACATTAGATCATAACATTTCCCCCCACCCAAAAATCAAACATTTAACCCCAAATGAAATGTTTGATTCATGACCTAGAGAAGGCATCAGCCATGACGTTCTCTAAGCCCTTTTTGTACCGGATAAGTAATAATGAGTAATAAGTAATAATAATAAGTAATCAGTAAAGTAATGGGATTACTTTTTGGGGAAGTAATCAGTAATTAGTTTCTTACTTTTTTCAAGTAACTTGACCAACACCCCTAATTCTTCTCAAAGTTGTTGTTCTACTGCAGCAGTCCCCAACCTCGGGGCCACAGACTGGTACTGGGCTGCAAGAGTTGAGGCTCGGATGTGAAATCTATGGTTGTCAGGGTTTTTATAATTAATTCGTTTTCCCTGGGTCTTTTCCCGTGTTGTAGTTATGTGTCTTATTTTGAAAGAAATGTTCACATATTACCATAGCGACCAGAGAGCATTAAGGGGCAGAGAGGAGGATGCTACTCTTGTTGGTGCATTTCAGGAGGACGCTGCTAATAAAGTTACACAATTACACAGTGAATTTGTGTTTATTGTTACATTTACAAAACACCACAGTTTTTGTCTTGGTCATATCATTTTATTTTGTTGTATTTGCCTGCGACACCTTAAAGGCCAGGCCGTGACAATATTGTCTGACATTAAACTGGTCTGTGGTGTAAAAAAGGTTGGAGACCCCTGTTCTACTGGGGTGAGGACAGTGTAGGACTTGACTGTGCAGCTAGTTAAGTTCTTCAATAAAGCATGATTTGTCAGTCCAGAGAACAAATCTTCACTGCTCTAGAGTCCAGTGGTGGTGTGCTTTACAGCACTTCATCAAACACTTTGCATTGCACTTGGTGATGTAATGTTTGAATGCAGCTGTTCATCCATGGAAACCCATTCCATGAGATGCTCTGTGCACTGTTTGAGAACTAATCTTAAGGCCACATGAAGTTTGAAGGTCTGTAGCGATTGACTCTGCAGAAAAAGCTGGTAACCTCTGAGCACTATGCAATTCAGCATCCACTGGCCCCACTTTACTATCACTTTTACCTCTGCTCTCACTTTGTGGCTGAGTTGCTGTGACTTCCACTTTTTTATAATACCACTAACAGTTGACTGTGGAATATTTACTAGAGGATTTCATGAGTGGACTTGTTGCACAGGTTTTTTTTAGAAGCAGTCTGCATGTCTAGCTGCTCGATTTTACACACCTGTGGACATGGATGTGATGGGAACACTGGAATTTACTGATTTGGATGGGTGAGTGAATACTCATGGCGATACAGTGTATCTGCAGAATTTTTCTTCGCTTCCAAATAAGTGAAGCAAAGTTTGGCATCCTCAATGCACTGCCTTGTACCGTGTATCATAACAAAAACAGAGTGGGTTGGTTTCTGCATTGCAGTTTCTAATCTAATTCTGGTTCATATATTTTTGGAGTGCTTTGTTGACGCTGCTGTACAGGGTAGCTAGATCCTCCTCAGTTTTTTGGTTTTTGTTACTGAAAGGAAAGGATATATAAATTAAAATAAATCAAATGTTTAAAATAGTGTCAATAACTGTTTAAGTTATGCATTCACACTGTTAGTCTTTTTGTGTGTATGTATGCATGTATTTGTTTGTTTGTTTATAACATCGGCTGGCCAGTTATTCTGATTGTACATTCATGCTAAACTTGGTAACTAGTTACCAAGTTTCCTTGTTTATTATTGGAATGTTAAATAGTTTACAGTGACAAAAATGCACCCACCTGTCATTCTAAGGGTTCATAACTCTAGATCCATTCACCTCTATCACCGCCCAGTCATGACTTGTAGAAACCAAAATATTTTTTATCAGGCTGTCGATTTCTTTCTTTCTTTCTTTCTTTCTTTCTTTCTTTCTTTCTTTCTTTCTTTCTTTCTTTCTTTCTTTCTTTCTTTCTTTCTTTCTTTCTTTCTTCCTTCTTCATCAGAATTATTGTGTAAAGGCCAAGAAAGATGTCTAGCGGGTTTACTGTACCAAGTGGCTCATTATGGTCTTGACATATTGGTCCATTTGATTGACCTTTATTATTATTATTATTGTTATGTATTTATTTTATTTTCAGGTGTTACAGATGGGACAGGCATGACTTGGGGATAGGACAGGGAGAAAGAAAGAATGAGAGAAAGAAAAACCGAGGGGAGAAGAGATAGTGAGAACGGGGTTGAATAAAAAAATCATCTGGATCACCTGTCGAGAGAAGAAAAAACAAACAAGAGAGCACCATTGTAAACACAATACCATCACAATAAACTAGCTAACAGTAAATAACAGTAGATACTAAATATTAAATGTTATTGTGCAGCACACAATGTGCTTTGAAGTAGCAGGCAAGAAAGGTGTAGTTTGTGTCTATGAACAGTGAACACCCGTGTGCACGCCTGTGTGGATCAACACGCTTGTATTCAAAAGGTTTCGCCATGTAATGATCTGCTAGGGCGTGTGGGCAGCCATAGCCCCGTCCCTCAGGGCATGAAGCAGGTATGGGGGAGATTGAGGCCCCAAAGTACGAGAACCCAAGGACGACCATCAGAGGGGCAACAGTGCCACCTGCCTGGGAAGAGCTGAGGAGAGCCTCAGACGCAGGGTCACCCAGCAGCCAGACGGGGCTGCAGTGATGTGTTCGCGGGCACTGCTGGCAGCCAGCAGTACCAGAGAGGACCGAGCCCCAGGCCCAGAGGACAGAGGCCTGAGGGCCCCCTAATCCCTGAAGGGGCCCAACTGGGCCACAGTTGTCAGGCCCAGCCAAGCGGCCACCAGGAGTGAGGTGGTACATACATGAGCGCCCAGCCCCAGCCCCAGACGCCAAGAACCACCAACGCATGTCTGACGGCATCAGCAACCGGCAGGTAGGGGAGATAGGCCTCCATACCTTGGAGGACCTGAGATGTTCCCAGAGAGGTGGCGTCTGATACCTGACCTGACATATAGACACCGACGAACAGGCGCACACAGACACAAATGTGCATTCCCTCATATGCACATAAACAAGTACTCACCCGACATGGAGACAGACACAAATAGACACTGTACACACAATCACACTTCCCAAACATACTCTATACCTCAGGTGCAGGTACCCTTTCTCCAAGAGAGGCAAACCACACCTAGACCCATGAGATGTAACCCTTTTCCCTGGGGTGGACGCAGGCAGACCGCCCCCATATCTGCAGTAGCAGGGACGCCCCGCATCCTGAACCCCAATCGGACGGCCAATACCTCCCAGCCCCGGCGGTCAACAGAGAATGGAGGTGAGTGAAGACCCCAAACCTCCCTCCGCCCGCTCATATGTAGTGTTGCTGCATGCTGTTCTAAAGTGCATTTAAAACATGATGCTTCCTACCAGAGAGCAGCACGGCTGATCCCGAAAACCCTCAGTGTCTATATGCATTTAAAATTGAGGGTAGGGCACCAGCGCCAGAGGTGGGTTTGAATACACAGACCATCCTCTGGACGCTGTATAACCCGCCCACCCCCAAAGCCATGTTTATTTCTGATTTAAAACTTGATACTTTAACATGGAATTGGCTTTCAGACTCAACCTCAATGGCTAAGCCTCATGACTATTTATTTTGCCTGGGAAATAATGCAAGGCAAAGTAGACAGGCAAATCAGTCTTATGGTTTGAATGTGTTCAGTGGAATCATAGGAGGGAAAAAAACCCAACATGACTGGGCTGACAACCAACTCATTATCTACTCAACAGTGTGAAGTAAGTCATGTTTTAGACTGTATGAACAGGATTTACATTAAGCATGAAAACTAAAAACAGATGAGTACACAGACAAACAGATCGTTTGCAGAAGTGGAAGTGAAATACTCTCCCTGCAACACTGAGCGCATCATATTTGATATATGATACACTCATACAGCAAAATTTTAAACCCTGATCCTCTTGTATGTTTTTGCTTAAGATGAGCAAATTATGAGTAATATGTTACACAAAAACGTTGCACAAATTAAAACTTATCTGCAAAATGACCTTTAATTTCTTTTTTAATTGCCAGAAGATTCAATGAACGCTCCAGTTTTCTAGAAAAAATTTGAATGTTCTGGCAAATTTTTCATTGTTAATGCTTTACAGGGCGAGGAAATCTGATGTGTATATCGTGTGATATTAAATGTTCAAATCTATGAAAACAAAAGAAGAAGTGGTGATGCATGACTGTCCTGCCAAGTTCCTCTCAAAAACAAAACTTTATCCTACAGCAATGATAATGTCTATGTGTTGCTTACCTTGGTGCTCTACTGGCACTGGCAAACTTGACAGTAGCATAATGGATTTTGTTTTCCTCTTCTTCTTCTTTCTTGTGCTTCTGGGCCTGAGCTGGGTTGATGTTGGAATAGAGAGGATCTGTCTGCTTCTTAGAAAACTGAATGCTGGCATACTGAAGGCTGCACTTCTGCTCTACTGGTTGCTTCTGTAGACACGACACATTTGTGATTCTCAGTACAACTGTGAGCCTAAGCCTGATGCAGTTCTCATGAATCATCAGTCAGTTTTCTGTAACTGACTACGGTAGCCTTTCAGCTTTAGTCTGCGAAATGTGAAACCACCTTTTGTACATGTATTGATCTTCCTGACTTGTGCACTTGTGCCTGGGCTCTCTGTAGGCTCAGGGAGCTTTCTTGGGATCTGCTTTTTCCTAGTTGGAGGAAGAAATAAAGGTTTAGATTGCTTAAACTAACTGAAAAGCTTTAAGTAAAATAATTTAAATGATATGGTACTCACCATATCGATAATAAAATCCACATGAGTATGACAACAAGAAGAATGCCAATCACTGTTCCAGCAATGATTTTCCACATTTCTGAGTAAGGGGGATAACATGAAAACTCTGTTACATATACTGTTATATATTATGTTTCCAACTTCTGGCACCATAGAATAACAAAGTGTTACTGCCCTTCAGACTAAGTGTAAAGCCAAGTTTCACCTTGTATAACTCATGAATACGTGTACTTTTACAACACTCAATGGAAGAACTGTTTCCTTCCAAAGTAGCTACCTAATGATAGATCAAATACATACATATTTTCAGAACTTAGCTGGAAATCCTACACCTTTGCCCACCTACTTTTCTCCAAACCCTCTCCTCTTTCAGCTTCAGTGTGGGGATTCAAACTGGATTCAGACTGCAACAGCAATGATCAAGTCTGTCATGGTCCTGCGTCTGTGACCCAGGGTTTTGAGTTTTGGGAATGTTTAGCAAGTTTTTTTTTAATCTTTATATTATAGTTCTGTATTTGATATGTATTATCATTCAGGCTTTTATTATTATATGGCTAAGTTCATGTTCCAGGTTTTGGTTCTTTATTGTCATTCCGTTATGCACAGTGTTTGTATTTTATGGTCTTAGGTCTGTACGTTACTGTTATCATGCCTCGCTGTGTTCCATTTAACAAGTTCAGTCTTTCCTGTCTTTATTCACTGGTCCCTGTGTCAAGTCTACGTATCCGAGTCTCAGTGTTTCTGTTTTATTCTAGTCTCCTGCCAGAAAAAAACTTGACCCCTGTTTCAATCCAGGGGCTCAATGTTGACATTGTGGATTATACATAAATAACACATAGACAATATACTGGACTGGGCTAAAAACACTACTGCACTTTACAGGAACGGTCAGGGTCGTCTCTATTTTTTGAGGCGGCTGAGGTCCTTCAACATCTGTCAAACAATGCTCAGGATGTTCTACTAGTCTGTTGTTGCCACTGCTATCCTCTATGCCTGCTATGCATGCTGGGGGAGCAGATTGAGAGTTGCTGATGCTAACAGACTCAATATATGGATCCACAAGGGGATGGAGCTTGTGGGGATGTTGTGGGGATGGCGCTGGACTGTCTTAAGGTGGTGTCAGAGAGGCGAATGTTCTCCAAGATAAACACAATGTTAGTAATAATAATAATAATAATTCCTCCCACTCACTCCATGACATGCTGGCTAGCCACAGGAGCACGTTCAGTGAGAGACTGAGATTACCAAAAAACACCACTGACTGACACAGGAAATCATTCCTGCCTGTGGCCATGTCCCTGTACAACTCCTCCACCTAACACACTGTATACACTGCAATAGCTACACCCTTTTTGCACATGCTCTTCTTTCTTATTCAGATATTTATTAGTAAGTGACTTATGTGTATGTGTCCCACAGGTCTGGCCCGGATCTGGTATCAAGCTCGCACTGCTGGCTGACTTCTGGCATGATAAGATGTATGTCATCCAGATATGGGCCAGGGCTGGCATAGATGGCACTGTCTGTGTGATGGCATGCCACATCTGGCTCGATATAGCTCACATACTGCAAAGAATGACGGCTCTTTGGTGGCCCAGATCAGGTTTGCCAGAGGTAATCCACACACATAGGCCAGCACAGGACCACCACTGTGTCTGCAACTGGCCTTGTGCTCGCCCATGAGTGGGACACCGCTGGCAAACCAGATCTGGGCCACCAAAGGGCCGTCATTCTTTGTGGTATCTGGGCCATATGTAAGCACATTGTGTGGGCCAGATCGGCACCATACCAATTTTGCTATGTCGGATATATATGTATATATTGTGCTGTTTCTTATTTCTTGTATTGCCTTTTTGTTACTGTTTTTACTGGAGCACTGTAACCCACATAGTTTTCCCTAGGGATCAATAGAGTATTCTGATTCTCATTTTGAAACTTGTGTCAAAAAAGTTCACTGAACTTGGTATGTACAGAATGTTTTCCTTCATTGTGTGGTTGTGTGCATGAACCTAGCACAGTAGGATTTATTTCTAATGGTCACACGAATGTACGTCACAGCACGCTGCTGTGAAAGTTCAACTGGTATGCACAATTACTTCTCACTTCCAAGAATGCCGTGCTATAATGGGAAACTGAATTTGCACAGCACAAGCAATAGAAATAAGAGCGTTTCAGAGCGCAGCAATCGGCATGCAGCGTCCTATGTGAAAGGGCCTTAAAGCTGTCTTTAAAATACGATGGAGGCTCTGTGGTAGTTTGGGGTGGCTTTTCAGCCAGTGTTGTTCAGGATTTTGTCACAGTATTTGGAATTATGAATGCAGACAAGTGTACTCTGATCCACCATGCAAAGCATCTGATTGGCAACAACTTGATTTTCAGTAAGTAAAAGGGCGTACCAGTGCCATTCCCACTTAACCGTACAGCAGCCAAGAGAAAGGTCAAGCTATGATGTCCTCTGTTGTTCTGGACTTTACACTGGTAAGCCCCACTGTGTGCAGGACTAAACTTGTCAATGGTGAAGGTTTGTCCATGTGCCTTTGGTGAGTCTTCTTTCTCCTTGTACCAGGTGTAATTAGCTGCTGGGTTAGCATCACTGCTACATGTCAGAGTCACTGAACTGCCTTCAGCTATCTCTCCAGACGGAGTCACTGACACAGAGGGAAGTTTTGGAGCATCTGGGAAATTATAAAGATTATTCATTTATATTAGCATGCAAAGTATAGAGAAGCCTTTGGACAATGAAGAATACTTACACTGAACATTTATAAAGACATATGATGAGTTGATCTGTCCATACTGATTCTCTGATTTGCAGAAGTAGTTTCCTCTGTCCTCAGAGCTGATGGAGGGGAAATGATGACTGCCCTCTGGTCCTAGAGGCAGTGCTTTATTCTCCTTGTACCAGGTGTAATTAGCTGCTGGGTTAGCATCACTGCTACATGTCAGAGTCACTGAACTGCCTTCAGCTATCTCTCCAGACGGAGTCACTGACACAGAGGGAAGCTTTGGAGCATCTGGAGGACAGTTTATAAAGCCTTTTATTACACTAACAAATATAGCAAGGCAAATATTTGCTTAGTGTGTGTAACTCATAAAAGCAAATGATGACCGTTAAGCCATGAATCATGCTACAGAATAATGTTCTATTACTTTGTCATAAAGGACAACATATTATTTCTACAAATCCACTGATGTTGATTTGCCCAATAACTAAATAAACTGAGACTGAGTGTGCCACTTTAATTTGAGGGTAAATTGAAATTGTGGAAATCCTGTACTTTACTGTTTCCGCAGTATTTACTTAAAATTGATTCCAGCACACTAAATACTCTCCTGCTACATTTATTCCTGCATAGATTTGCAGACTTGTGTAAAATGAGGGCCTGGTGTGTTAGTTAAATAGTTGTTTTTTTCCTACCTTTATGCAGATCAAGCAATAAAGAGGATTTAAGAATATTATTAAACTAAAACCATAGTCTAATTTCATGAATTTCACTATGTGTCTACAGTGAATTAACACAAAAAGAAACTTTGGAGCATCTGAGTGATAACATTTCAAGACACTTCATGATCTCTCAGTAATTACATATTCAGATTATCTAGGGTTAGAGGTAGTGCTAGGGCACAGTTTATCACTAATGATGATTTAGGTATCATAGGGTTAAATTGCACTTTTCTACTTACACTGGACATTTATAAACACACGTGAAGAGTTGATCTGTCCATACTGATTCTCTGACTTGCAGGAGTAGTTTCCTCTGTTCTCAGAGCTGATCGAGGGGAAATGATGAACACCCACTCGTGGCCAAGTCAGGAATAGCTCCTCCTTGTACCAGGTGTAGTTAGCTGCTGGGTTAGCATCACTGCTACAGGTCAGAGTGACTGAACTGCCCTCCACTATCTCAGCAGAGGGACTCACTGACACAGAGGGAAGCTTTGGAGCATCTGGAGGAAATATGCTAACATATGTTAACTGTAAATTAGGTCCTACCTGTTGTAGAACTTGATTGTTCTATGTAAAGCACCATATACAATCTTTAAACTTCTGCTTATTTCCTGTACAAGAAGAGCATCAGAAATTAGCTATAAAGAGAGGACTGTGTTAGGGTCACATAACATTAATTAACTAGGTGAGCCAGGATTGGCTGATCCTGGTTACGCTGTGGTTGATTAGTTAACTATGATCATAGAAATCTTTTTTTTTTTCATTCATCGGGAAACAGATTTCTTACAAAGGCTATTAGAAAAAAGCAAATGGAAGAATAATATAAAATCATATCTGAATAAGATTAAGAGAAGCTGGTCAGGATAATAACATTTCAAATTCAGTCATTCTTTAGGGTGTAATCTATTCGTCTAGTTCATAATTGTTCAGGGGAGGTGTTCATACAGAGAAGAGTCCATAGACATCTGTCTTCTAAACTGTGGTTCTAAAAAGTGACATATGTGAATTATGCCGTCCTTAATGAAGCAGTGCCTCTATAAATATTGTGAGACAGGATATGCTAGATGATTGTGATGACCTGTAATGCTCTTTTTACTTAGTTGGAGTCAAGGCATTCACGACAACTGGCTCCACCAGTTTAGTCACTGAATAAACCTACTCCCAGGCAGGTTTGTCCTTACAGATATGTAAGCGGGGGTGTGTGTGTGTGTGTGTGTGTGTGTGTGTGTGTGTGTGTGTGTGTGTGTGTGTGTGTGTGTTCTTGGCAAGTTGTCAACAATTTGATTTGGCTGAAACTTAAAACCCACTGACAGAGTGAGTTGAATTGCTCATTATGGACTTTAAATTGTTTTAGGTTTTAGGTTAGAGTCATGTGCAAAGTATGCACTGTTTTTTGCACTGTTCTTCTTACAAGAAGAAGGCTCCAAATATCAGCAGTTTCACTCACATTTTACATTTATACGAAGATGTTTGGATTTCCTGATTCCCAGCTCATTTTCTGCTGTGCAGTTATAAACTCCAGAGTCAGATGGCCGGATGGACGGGAGGCTGAGCTGTTTTGTAGTGGACAGGGGTGTTTGCCCACCTTCCTTGTACCAGGTGTAATTAGCAGCTGGGTTAGCATCACTGCTACAAATCAGAATCACTGAAATGTTCTCCACTATCTCACCAGATGGACTCACTGTCACAGAGGGAAGCTTTGGAGCATCTGGAGGAACAATAATCATTTGTTTAATAGATAGAAATAAGTATATTCACAAAAAGCCAAATGCTTACATAAAATTAGAAAAAAAAATCGAATTGGGGGAAGTTCCTCTTAAAAAACTCCACCCTTTGTGTTAGAGTTTGTCAGTTACACTGCACTTACACAGTGAAGCCGAGCAGTAATCTTCTTGTCCTTTCAAAGCACAGCAGATGCTGTCATTAAACCGAAGGCTGGTTATGTGAGGATTTTCTTCTGTGACCTTCTCTCCATTCTTGAGCCAGACATAAGAAACATCCCCAGTGCAGCTGCTCTTACACTTCAGCTCCGCCTTGGTACAGGACTCATTTACTCTTATTTTGGTCACCTCCACCTGCAGAGCTGGACAAGTGAAAAAAGTCCCAAAATAACACTGGTGTTCATAAAGAAATAAAAATAAAAGATTCACTCATTGTAAATGACTCATTGGCTACGACAAGGGCGTACCCATCCAGGACTACCTAGGAATGTCCACACAAGGTGGCCCTAGAGTAGGTGGCTACTAGGTTAGCCTCAGGATGACAGTCTACACTCAGCCTTCGATCAAGTAATAAAAATTGATGATCAGGTGGTGTGCCCTGAATCTGACATTCCCGTATTTTGTATTGATTATATTGGCAGATTGTATTGAGAGAGTGGCGACACTCTCATGCAGGACAACCACACACAGTTGCTGGTGCATAAAAGCCACCAGGAAATGATTTTCCAGGTGGCTCAATATAACCCGATGGCTGGTGACATGTGTTTTGACAAAACTCTGGAGCAAATAATGTCCCGAATTTATCGTCCGGGCATTCAGGGGAGATGTGTGCCAGTGGTGGGTACCCTGTCTGTCAGCAGGTCATCAAGCGACTTTGTGCCCTTTACCTTTAATGCAGATCGTTCATGTCTTGCACAATCACAGTTTGTAGGTGTTATAATAATAACACACAAACTGTATGAATTACTTGGCATTAAATCTTTCGGGACTAGCGTCTATCACCCTCATATTGATGGGCTGGTGGAGCAGCTGAATAACACCATGATTCGCAGTTTCATTGCTTGTTAGACCCTATGTTGTTTGCTGTGTGGGAGGTGCTCCAAGCCTTCATTGGATTTTCTCCACTTGAGCTACTGTTTGGCAGAATTTTGTAGGGGGTGTTGGACCCGATTAAAGAAAACTGGAGAGAACATCCGAGCCTGGCAAAAGATGAGATTCTATATTTTCTGGACCTAAGAGCAAAGCTGCACACGTTGGGGAGGTTGTCATGAGAAAGAGATGAGTTGGGGCCAGAGGTGCCAAATTCCACCATTCTTGCATTGTGATAACCATCACAGACAGGCCAGAGAGAGGATGTTCCCGCATTGCAACAGCTGTTGGCAGATGTGTTCTCCCCCCTGCCAGCTTTACAAATCTTAAAGAGGGCCATTTTGAAACCGAGCCTGGCGTGATGGTGCATTTACAGCCCTACAGGTTACCTAAGCATAAAAGGCAAATTGTTCAGAAAGAAATGGCTGAAATGCTGAAACAGAACAGAAGAGTCGCACAGCTTGTGGTTTATACCCGCCCAGTCGTGTAAATCAGGAAACTGTGAGAGTGGAAGGCCAGGTACAGCACCATAGAGAAGGAGATCCTGGCCATCTGGTGGGTGGTCAGCTCTCTTCGCTATTACCTCCTTGGCTGCTCCCTCTTTTTGGATCACACTCCACTGCAGTGGCAGGGTGTGGTTGGTGGCTCTGCTGCAGGGGAGGGGTGGAGCAGCGGGTTCAGGATATGGTTTCAGGGAATGCTGATTATTGCAGCTGGTAAGCATAATCTAATCATGCCTTCCCTGCTTCAATAAAGGCAAAAGCCAACATTGGAATGTGCAAGCAAACTAAAAATAAAATAAGTCAAACTAAACATCTGGGTTGTGGCTGGTCCTTGTGGTCTACACATTGTAAACATAAATATGCTACCTTTTGCAGAAAAAGAAAAAGGGAAAAAAGATCTTTAGATAATTTTACCAGTGACAGACAAAGTGATTCCAGGTGTACCAGTATATTTCCCATCAGATTTGTTTGTTATGAAACGGAACCTGTATTCATGGGAATCTGTCCATTTCAAGTCTGCCATTTTCATAGTGCATCTCTCCTTAGTACAGTTGTACTGAATCCGATCTTTGTAATCTGAGTTGACTTTGAGGTTCTCGTTGTTTTGAAAACACCAGAATTCTTCTGTAACAGTATACCCTGCAGGATATGTGTAGGTGCATTTCATTTCCACTGTTGATCCATTGGAGGCACATATCTTAGCTGCAGCGTATGTCACTCCCCAGTTAGCCTTATTCTGCACCACTGTAACACAAATCAGAAAAATAACACCAGAGAACAGGATTTAATATTTTGCCAGGTAATGTTTGAGGGACTCTTTGAATTATAGTTGTATTGGTGGGAGGATTTTCAATCTACCTCACTTGGGCACTTTTCCAGCAACCAGCTTATCTAACAACTCTGACTTTGTTAACCTATCATAAAATAAGGTTTACAGATGAACACAGATTGCTGTTTACGGAAAAACAATGCCAAAGAAAGAGATATGTACATATGCACAGTGAGGAACATAAGTATTTGAACACTCTGCGATTTTGCAAGTTCTCCCACTTAGAAAGTGCAATACAAATAAATGCTGTAAAAATCATACAATGTGATTTCCTGAATTGTTTTTTAAAAGGTGTCTCTCAAAGTAGGAATGCACCTACAATATGAATTTCAGACCACTCCATGATTTCTAAGTGGGAGAACTTGCAAAATCACAGAGTGTTCAAATACTTATGTTCTCACTGTAGTAGACTGCAAATTAAGAAATTAAGAATTTTGGATTAATGTAGATTAATCCAAAATTCCAGGAACAACCAGGGAACTGAACTACAGACGATTGAGCCGGAGAAATTCAAATGCTGAGAGAAACACAGAACAGGCACATACAGATTTAGAGGACACACAGCTACAAGTGTTCTTTTAACAATCAGACAGGGGAAAATGAGACAATAACATACAGTATAGTACATTTTGTCTGCTGGAGACAACAGACAAAACGAGAAATGGCCATGTCTCATGACATTAAACTCAATCAAAAAAACAACCATTATAAAACAGGAAGTGTGACACAAAAGAACAGGGGAAAGGGATTAACGTGACACAAAGGGAAGATAGGAGGATTTGAGACCTGCACTATGATGTGTGTGTGTAATGGTATTTTCCAACGGTTCTGAGATGGATTCTCAGAAATTTAGAACAGTTGCATTTTTTGGTTTGTGGAAACACGCCGTGTTCCTCCACCATATTTGGTTACACTGGCCAGGAAAAATGTTTCCCTTCTGACTAATGCTGATTTACATATGTGGCTAGAGAACAGCCACACATGTTGTATGCCAAAGGTGGAGGAGAAGGGGCGTTGTAGGCATTCATGTGCTCAAATTGGTGCCTAGAGTTGATATTGTCTCAGTTACTTAAGCATACAAACCTCCAGAGAAGGGCAATTTGAATGCCTAAGAGGGAGTAAAACAAAAACAGCTGGTAGCAAGTTACTTTACATCATGCCAGCTAATCTTAGGTTTCACTGTCCAGTTTGATCACATTGTCACATCGTATGAGAGTTTAGTCACTTTTAGTCACTCCATTTATGCATTGCGTTCAGTCAGAAGTGAATTTCTCTCACTCATTGACTCGTATCGGACTCCTTTCATAAAAGGCACTGCAAGTTTTATAGTTTCACAGTTTCTTCCAGATCGGGTCAAACATCAGTAGAACAGGGCCCTATTTCAGGAAGCCGGTTTAGAAAACTCCGAGTGAAAAACGATACTCAGGGTTGAGTAACCCCGAACTGTCCAACTCGGAATATTCGGTTTCAGAAAGGCTGATAACAATTAGTTCAGTCAACGCGGAGTTGCTTTAACCCCAAGTTAAGCGCGCGCACGAGGATACATAAAGCCCTGATTAGTGGAGCACAGATTAAGCGAGTCACCATGGAGACGGAGGGAAAGAAGGCGCGGTCAATGTATTTTACAGCGCTTGAGGCCGAAATTCTGATGGCAGCATATGCCGATAACATGCAAATTTTGCAGAAAAAAAGTAACACAGCCTCAGCTGCGAAAGAAAGGGAGCATGCATGGCAAAACATAGCCGACAGAGTCAATGCGTGAGTGTTAATTTAAACATTGATCTAGGGATTTCCACCAATTTAACACGTTATTTTATTATACAATAATACAATACAATACAACCCAACAGGCCCCAAACGTTCCTGGCAGCAAGTAAAAATGAAATATAAAAATATAGTCCAAACAGGTGAGGTGTAATTGTATTATGAGCCATAGTGCTTGGTCTGTTTGTCCGATGTAAATCAATTGCAGTTAGATTCTACATTAATTTTCTTTCTGTAAGCACTTATTGAAATTATCTGAGCACATTACAAGTACATATTTGCTTACTCTGTGTGCTCAAATGTGACCCGTTATAGCCAACAGAAAAAAAGCGGAGGCCCGAAAAACAGGTGGGGGTCCTCCACCACCACCACTCACAGAGGCTGAGCAGTTGGCTTCCACATTTGTGATAATGTTGGCAGCATCACATATGATCTTCACAGTGCAGAGAACACAAATTAGCATCCATCACTATAATGAAATAATTTGTTAGTTTGAAATGCTACAGGGAACTATGTACCTGTACATTAATGCTGTGGAAAGACTTCCTGTTCACATAGTCTCCTTCATTTACTGAAGGAGCAATGATTGGAATGTGAGTGCCATCTATACAGCCAATCACGCCTGGGAACCGTGAGAATAAATGTAATATTTAAGTAGTAGTTCAAATATCACCACATCATGAACGCCATGTCTGACACTTCCTACAGTCAGGTTTCCGACAAAGAGGCGTAGACTGTCAGGGTTAGTTGAAGTAAACCTGCTAGGGGGCAGGTTAGCTTCACGGAGTGTGTCGTCATAGTAACTCACTCAGAATTAATCTAAACTCGCTTTGTGAAACCGAAAACCCAGAGTTTTCGTTAACTCAGGGTTTACTTACTCAGAGTTTGCACTAAACCGGCTTCCTGAAACAGGGCCCAGAAGTAAAACTGTATTTTTAATCTGTACTGCCACTGTTGTGTATGTCTGACATGCTAAGACACACGCAGAGCAGAGCAGGCTCTATTCACAAATTGGGGGGTTCGTGCATAAAAAAAGAAGTATATTAATAAAAAGTGTTATGCCAAATTACACCTGAATTATACCTGAATGGCGGTGGGGTAACAATAACAGCAACAACTCAGAAACCTGACTCAAGGATGATGTAAAATGGAGGATTTTAAATAAAATGTTAAATACAAAAAGACCATTGGAAAGGAAATAATAAACCAGACCAAGAATTAATATAAAACAAAAAAAGAACACAACTTGAATATACTGTAACATAACAACACTTGACAAAAACATA